CATTTGTAGATGATTATTCTCGTGTGACTTGGTTGTTTCTTTTGAAAGTTTGTTCTGAATTATTCTCTATATTTGAGGTTTTTTGTAAAGAAATAAAAATCCAGTATGGTTGTCGCATTCGTATTTTATGTTCTAATAATACTCGGGAATATGAATCTGATTCTTTTTTAGCCTATCTCAGTAAAACGGGCATTATTCATCAGACTTCATGTGCTTACACCTCTCAGCAAAATGACGTTGTTGAGGCTAAGAATTGTTATCTGTTAGAAGTCACTCGTGCCCTGTTATTCCAGATGAATATCCCCCGTTGTTTTTGGAGTGATGCTGTTCTTACTGCTTGTTATATTATTAATCGTATGCCATCGTTTGTATTAAATGGGCAAAGTCCATATTATGTTCTTTTCTCAAGTAAGCCCCTATTTTCTTTAACTCCTAAGGTTTTTGGGTGTTTCTGTTATGTTCACAACTTGAGCCATGAGTTTGATAAACTTGTCCCTCGTGCTACCAAATGTGTCTTTCTAGGATATTCCCGCACACAGAAGGGATATCGTTGTTATAATCCTTTCCTTCATCGATACTTTATTAGTGCTAATGTCACTTTTAATGAATTGGTTCTATATTTTTCAGCACCTGCTCAGCCATTGGATCTGAATTTTGGGTCATCCTTTATACCACCACCTCTTCCCTTACCATTAGATATTTCGCTGCCCACTGTGCAACCGTCTACTTCTACACTCCGCGTATATTCTCGTCGTCCTCGACCATTGACTGAGGTGCCCGTATCGTCTTCCTTGCCGTCTCTTAATCCTGGTTCATCAGGTACTTCCGACTCTTTATCTATTCCTCTTCGGAAAGGCACTCGTTCGTGTGTTACTAACCATCCCATTACTCACTTTATTTCATATGATGCCTTGTCTACTACTATCTCTTGTTTTTTCTCTCAACTGTCTACTATCTCTACTCTTAAGCACTTACAGGATGCGTTGTCTGATCCGAGTTGGAGGAAAGCTATGGAGGTGGAGATGGATGTCTTACATTATAATGGGACTTGGGATCTTGTTCCTTTATCTCCTAGTAAACAGACTGCGGGTGGGTGTATACTGTTAAGTTTAATCCGAATGGTTCCGTGGAGCGTCTTAAAGCCTGTCTAGTTGATAAGGGCTTTACTCAGACGTATGGGGTTGATTATGAAAAGACTTTCTGTCCCGTTGTCAAAATCTCTTTTGTTCGTATATTGATTTCTTTGGCTGTTAATCTTGATTGGCCATTGTTTCGACTAGATGTCAAGAATGCCTTCTTGCATGGTGACTTGGTTGAAGAGGTTTATATGGAGCAACCACCTGAGTCTACTACTCAGGGGGAGAATTGTAAGCATGAAGTCTCTGTATGGGTTAAAATAGTCACCAAGTGCATTGTTCGGTAAGCTTTCAAATGCAGTGTTAGAGTTTGGCCTTCTTCGATGTCAGACAGATCATTCTATATTTCATAGACAAACGGATGCTGGATATGTTCTATTAGTGATTTTTGTAGATGATAATGTGATTACTGAAAATGATTATGAGGGGATTGCCAAGTTGAAGACCTTCTTGCAAGACCGATTTCATATATTAAGGATTTAAGAAAACTTAGGTATTTCTTGGGTATTGAGGTTGCGAGATCTAAACAGGGTATTTGTTTATCCCAAAGGAAGTATGTATTTGATATTCTAGGAAAAGTAAGTTTGCTGGGTGGTAGACGAACTGATGTTCCTATGGATTCAAATAAAAAATTGTTGATGGATGATGGTACACTATTTGAGAATTTGGGTCAGAATCGCAGGTTGGTTAGGAATCACTAACACCCCGCCGGATATTTCCTATGCAGTTAGTATTGTAAGTTAGTTTATGGGTTCCCCTGGAGTACCACATTGGGAGGCAGTTACTCGTATTTTGCGATATCTCAAACGAGCTCCTGGTCTTGGGCTGTTATATCGAGCTAATGGTTATCTTAGAGTGGAAGATTTTTCAGATGCTGATTGGACAAGTTCTCCTTTTGATCAGAGGTGAACCACTAGTTATTGTACTTTCTTAGGAGGTAACATTGTCTCATAGAAGAGTAAGAAACAAACCGTGGTAGTAAGGTCCATTGCTGAGGCTAAATATAGAGCAATGACACATACAACCGGTGAATTGACGTGACTACTACACTTTCTCTAGGAAATTAATTTTTTTAGTTTAATCTCCTTTACAGTTGTTTTGTGACAATCAGGTAGCTATTTATATGGCTGCTAATCCAGTATTTCATGAAAGAACCAAACATATTGAGGTTGATTGTCATTTTATTCGAGACACGATAGTAGTTGGAGATATTACGACTCCATTTATGAGGTCTGAGGATCAACTCGCGGACATGTTTAATAAAGCATTGAGTAGTACACGTCTTACAACTATTTGTTCCAAGTTTGGATTATATGATATATATAGTCCAGCTTGAAGGGGAGTGTTAAGATTGTTAGGGTATTATGTAAATACCACTAGAGGTTATACATGTCTTTTGTATGGTTACGGGTTAAATATAAATACAAGTGGTTTGTGAGAGGTAGGTTATGTTTTTGACCACTCTCTGTTTCTCTAATATTGTGTTATGTTATCTCTCTAAACTTAACAATTAGCAAAGAGCAAATGAGAAATCAATACAAAACCTCTCCCTGTATGAAATCCTTTAATACACCCCTCACCATACAATGTAACAAGTCCTCTACTTAGAACTTCTTCAGCCAAAATAAAGAGGGAAGGAGAGATAGGATCTCCTTACCTCAAACCCCTAGAAGTAGGGAAAAAACCAAGCCTCGGGCCATTAAGACAAACAGAGATTAATTGGTTATTCAAACAATTGCCAATAATAGACAAACAAATCTGAAAACCCAAAACACTTTAGAGTTTTTAGAAAAAAATTTCATTTAATTCTGTCATAAGCTTTCATCATGTCCAGCTACTTGAAGGTTGATCCTTATCTAATGACACCGGAGCATTTTAGGGGATGGTTATGATCCATGTTTTTAGTGGGAGCTGTTAATTGACTTTTGGATTTGGACCAAATTCAACCTTGAAAATCGATAGATAGGATTTTTTTTTTGAAAGGATTTAGAAAATATTTGAATGGAGGATCAAACAAAAACGGGATTAATCGAAAATGTCCAGAATGGGACAAATTCGCTCGTAACATGTTCTAATGATACAAATCATGGGTGAATCACTTCTAGGGACTTCACACGCCTGCAGGGTACCCATCTTTAACCTTTGCTCAAAATTTTCACCGAAAGATGACGAATTGTGGAAAAAAAATGTTGTTTAATAAACATGTTGGCAGTATTTGTTCTCNAGGGTATTTGTTTATCCCAAAGGAAGTATGTATTTGATATTCTAGGAAAAGTAAGTTTGCTGGGTGGTAGACGAACTGATGTTCCTATGGATTCAAATAAAAAATTGTTGATGGATGATGGTACACTATTTGAGAATTTGGGTCAGAATCGCAGGTTGGTTAGGAATCACTAACACCCCGCCGGATATTTCCTATGCAGTTAGTATTGTAAGTTAGTTTATGGGTTCCCCTGNTTATGGAGTTTTTGACCCAAAACTTTTCTATCCATTTGGTCAAATGCTGAATCTTTTCCGATCAAAAGAAGAATCTAATAGTTTAACTTATTACAGTTGCAGACCTTGAAGTACGTGGAGAAGTTCAAACCCTTGATTTATCCCTAACCGTACAAAATATGAATGTTTTTATTTTAGCTTTTATAAATCAAGAAAATTTAGCTCTATAGAGTCACCCATTCTTACACGGAAAACACATGAAGGCCAGTGGGACTCTTAACTCCATGGATGCCATCACTCTACATTGAAACCCCCAGCTGATTTCCCAAATGACACCAACCTCTGCTCCCTGGGGCAGCCAAAAAGAAGGCCATGTCTAATTGTGCTGTATTTATGGGCTCCTCGAAATGGGAAAGTAAATTGAGGTTGGTTTTTGAACATCAATTCACACGGGGGAGGACGATTNTGGCTGCTAATCCAGTATTTCATGAAAGAACCAAACATATTGAGGTTGATTGTCATTTTATTCGAGACACGATAGTAGTTGGAGATATTACGACTCCATTTATGAGGTCTGAGGATCAACTCGCGGACATGTTTAATAAAGCATTGAGTAGTACACGTCTTACAACTATTTGTTCCAAGTTTGGATTATATGATATATATAGTCCAGCTTGAAGGGGAGTGTTAAGATTGTTAGGGTATTATGTAAATACCACTAGAGGTTATACATGTCTTTTGTATGGTTACGGGTTAAATATAAATACAAGTGGTTTGTGAGAGGTAGGTTATGTTTTTGACCACTCTCTGTTTCTCTAATATTGTGTTATGTTATCTCTCTAAACTTAACAATTAGCAAAGAGCAAATGAGAAATCAATACAAAACCTCTCCCTGTATGAAATCCTTTAATACACCCCTCACCATACAATGTAACAAGTCCTCTACTTAGAACTTCTTCAGCCAAAATAAAGAGGGAAGGAGAGATAGGATCTCCTTACCTCAAACCCCTAGAAGTAGGGAAAAAACCAAGCCTCGGGCCATTAAGACAAACAGAGATTAATTGGTTATTCAAACAATTGCCAATAATAGACAAACAAATCTGAAAACCCAAAACACTTTAAAGTTTTTAGAAAAAAATTTCATTTAATTCTGTCATAAGCTTTCATCATGTCCAGCTACTTGAAGGTTGATCCTTATCTAATGACACCGGAGCATTTTAGGGGATGGTTATGATCCATGTTTTTAGTGGGAGCTGTTAATTGACTTTTGGATTTGGACCAAATTCAACCTTGAAAATCGATAGATAGGATTTTTTTTTTGAAAGGATTTAGAAAATATTTGAATGGAGGATCAAACAAAAACGGGATTAATCGAAAATGTCCAGAATGGGACAAATTCGCTCGTAACATGTTCTAATGATACGAATCATGGGTGAATCACTTCTAGGGACTTCACACGCCTGCAGGGTACCCATCTTTAACCTTTGCTCAAAATTTTCACCGAAAGATGACGAATTGTGGAAAAAAAATGTTGTTTAATAAACATGTTGGCAGTATTTGTTCTCATGGAGTTTTTGACCCAAAACTTTTCTATCCATTTGGTCAAATGCTGAATCTTTTCCGATCAAAAGAAGAAACTAATAGTTTAACTTATTACAGTTGCAGACCTTGAAGTACGTGGAGAAGTTCAAACCCTTGATTTATCCCTAACCGTACAAAATATGAATGTTTTTATTTTAGCTTTTATAAATCAAGAAAATTTAGCTCTATAGAGTCACCCATTCTTACACGGAAAACACATGAAGGCCAGTGGGACTCTTAACTCCATGGATGCCATCACTCTACATTGAAACCCCCAGCTGATTTCCCAAATGACACCAACCTCTGCTCCCTGGGGCAGCCAAAAAGAAGGCCATGTCTAATTGTGCTGTATTTATGGGCTCCTCGAAATGGGAAAGTAAATTGAGGTTGGTTTTTGAACATCAATTCACACGGGGGAGGACGATTGCTTTTGATCATGTAGACCAACAATTGCCAGTCTAGTATTATCCGTGGTAGCTTCCCAAAGTTCTGGTGAAGTATTGAATTGTATGCTGAACACAAGTTCTTCTAATGATCATAGTTTCATTCTTGTGTCTTTGCTTCAGGAACTATTTGAGGGCTATTACTTTTGCCAAGCACAGAGGGAAGATTTCTTTCAGCGAGCAAAGCCTTATAAGGATCACCCCACAATCCTGAGGTGAAAATATCATATTGTCATTGGTTTATGGGGTTTGGTTGGCTTATTGGATGCCCTCATGCTTTATGAAATGATGACATAGCTTTTGCATCGGCAAGAATAAAAGGACATCCTGCATTCTAATATACTGACATTCTACTTCAGTTAAAACTTACATTAAATGGTTATGTGCATTTTTTGCAGGATGCAGGGACTTGCAAAAGCGTTGGGAGTAGTGATACCAATTAGCTTCTTCGAGGAAGCAAACAATGCACATTACAACTCAATAGCTGTGATAGATGCTGATGGGACTGATCTTGGACTTTATAGAAAGTCCCATATCCCTGATGGACCAGGTATTTTTTTTTCAGGCAAAGACGGACCATGTATGTTGAATGTAGTGTGATTTACCCATTTTATATTCATTTGATTCATATAGATAATTCTTCTCTCCAGGTTACCAGGAGAAGTTTTACTTCAATCCAGGTGACACTGGCTTTAAGGTGTGTATGTGCTATTATTTAAATCCTAATGTAACGCTTCTTCGGTGAGTTCTTCTCTTAATAGTAGTTTGCTCTTACTTATGAATGTCATAATAAACTTCAAGCTGTTGTGTTGGTGAACAGGTTTTCCAAACTAAATTTGCAAATATTGGAATTGGTTAGTTTTTTCCTTTTAATTCAATTTCCATGTTTCTTGTTATTCAGTTTTTGGGGTGGCTTATTGATATTGACTGCCCCACAAATCAGGTGGAAATATGTAAAGCATAATGTTATTGTCTGTTTTGTGAAGTCGAAGGCTTGTGCTTCTCATATCACTTTACTGGCAATAAAATGGACAGGAAGCCTGAATCAATCCTTGCATATATTCTGGCAGGTATTTGCTGGGATCAGTGGTTTCCTGAGGCAGCCCGAGCTATGGTTCTTCAAGGTGCTGAGATATTATTTTACCCTACGGCTATTGGTTCTGAACCTCAAGATGAAGGCCTNACCCTTGATTTATCCCTAACCGTACAAAATATGAATGTTTTTATTTTAGCTTTTATAAATCAAGAAAATTTAGCTCTATAGAGTCACCCATTCTTACACGGAAAACACATGAAGGCCAGTGGGACTCTTAACTCCATGGATGCCATCACTCTACATTGAAACCCCCAGCTGATTTCCCAAATGACACCAACCTCTGCTCCCTGGGGCAGCCAAAAAGAAGGCCATGTCTAATTGTGCTGTATTTATGGGCTCCTCGAAATGGGAAAGTAAATTGAGGTTGGTTTTTGAACATCAATTCACACGGGGGAGGACGATTGCTTTTGATCATGTAGACCAACAATTGCCAGTCTAGTATTATCCGTGGTAGCTTCCCAAAGTTCTGGTGAAGTATTGAATTGTATGCTGAACACAAGTTCTTCTAATGATCATAGTTTCATTCTTGTGTCTTCGCTTCAGGAACTATTTGAGGGCTATTACTTTTGCCAAGCACAGAGGGAAGATTTCTTTCAGCGAGCAAAGCCTTATAAGGATCACCCCACAATCCTGAGGTGAAAATATCATATTGTCATTGGTTTATGGGGTTTGGTTGGCTTATTGGATGCCCTCATGCTTTATGAAATGATGACATAGCTTTTGCATCGGCAAGAATAAAAGGACATCCTGCATTCTAATATACTGACATTCTACTTCAGTTAAAACTTACATTAAATGGTTATGTGCATTTTTTGCAGGATGCAGGGACTTGCAAAAGCGTTGGGAGTAGTGATACCAATTAGCTTCTTCGAGGAAGCAAACAATGCACATTACAACTCAATAGCTGTGATAGATGCTGATGGGACTGATCTTGGACTTTATAGAAAGTCCCATATCCCTGATGGACCAGGTATTTTTTTTTCAGGCAAAGACGGACCATGTATGTTGAATGTAGTGTGATTTACCCATTTTATATTCATTTGATTCATATAGATAATTCTTCTCTCCAGGTTACCAGGAGAAGTTTTACTTCAATCCAGGTGACACTGGCTTTAAGGTGTGTATGTGCTATTATTTAAATCCTAATGTAACGCTTCTTCGGTGAGTTCTTCTCTTAATAGTAGTTTGCTCTTACTTATGAATGTCATAATAAACTTCAAGCTGTTGTGTTGGTGAACAGGTTTTCCAAACTAAATTTGCAAATATTGGAATTGGTTAGTTTTTGCCTTTTAATTCAATTTCCATGTTTCTTGTTATTCAGTTTTTGGGGTGGCTTATTGATATTGACTGCCCCACAAATCAGGTGGAAATATGTAAAGCATAATGTTATTGTCTGTTTTGTGAAGTCGAAGGCTTGTGCTTCTCATATCACTTTACTGGCAATAAAATGGACAGGAAGCCTGAATCAATCCTTGCATATATTCTGGCAGGTATTTGCTGGGATCAGTGGTTTCCTGAGGCAGCCCGAGCTATGGTTCTTCAAGGTGCTGAGATATTATTTTACCCTACGGCTATTGGTTCTGAACCTCAAGATGAAGGCCTTGATTCTCGGGATCACTGGAAGAGAGTGATGCAAGGGCATGCTGGGGCTAATGTGGTGAGTTATGCTGGACATTCAACTGTTAAATTTCACTGTTTTGCTGCAGAACTATGTGCATCACAATGGGATGATTTCTTTTTGATATATTCAGGTACCTCTAGTAGCCTCAAATCGGATAGGAAAGGAGATAATCCAGACAGAGCATGGCAACAGTGCGATTACATTCTATGGCAACTCTTTCATAGCAGGTATGCCAATCCTGATTTGCTGGCCTATTCAAAGGTCAAAGTCCAGTCGTGTCATGATATGCACAGGCTTTACATTTGATGAAGAGGTTCAAATATTGATACTCTTATGAACAGGACCCACTGGAGAAATTGTCGCAGCTGCTGATGATAAAGAGGAAGCTGTTCTTGTAGCAAAATTTGATCTTAGTAAAATCAAATCCAAGAGAAATAGTTGGGGAGTATTTCGAGATCGGCGTCCAGATTTATACAAGGTGCTTTTGACTATGGATGGAAGGAATGCCTCTCTGTGATTTATCCTTTTAATACATTTTCGTTGAGATAAGTAAATGAATTCACAGTATGTACTAATGTTGCATGAGTAAAAAATATTGGTCTTCACAGATATTTCACATAGGCGACCACCAATAATTGGAACAAAGCTTTGTTAAATTGAATTGTATAAATATTTTCACATGCATTTGGGTATGACGTGTGAGTAATAAAAAATGAGTGTGTTGTATCTGGGCCTCATACCTCCTGGAAATAGGGTTTATTTTAGCAGTGTGACTATATCACATGCTATGTGAAATTCGGTCGTTGTGGTTAGACACTTTATGGATTTCTGACCACATTTTCCATAGGGCCCTCTTATCTCTTCCTTCTCCGAGCACATATTATGGAAGAAGGAACCGAGGAGAAGGTATTAGCAACAATTGGTTTTATTATGGGACAGCTGATGATGTTCATATCGATCTATTATGCGCCTCTGCATCTAGCATTGGGTAGACCTTATGCAATATCATTTATGATGATGTAGGACTACCCACTGAAAATCTTAATCTGGAGAGATACATATATCAAAATGATATTCATGTTCTTTGGATCATCTAACATCAAAATCTCCCAAGTGATAGGGCTATGCTAGGCGGTCCACATTGTCTTTCATTGTATCACCATCCTGATATTCAAGCCATGAGCCACACTCCTGTTTGAATGCTTTTTATCGCATAAAATTGGTTCAGTTTTACCTTTCTCCTTGGTTGTAGGATATTTTGTGCTAAACATATTTGACTGTTAGGTGACATGGTTTACAGAAAAGATTTGTATCATGTAGTTGTCAATTTATCGCCTGAAAATTTATAGGAAAAAGAACCTTTGATAGATTTAGAGATGTGTTCCTTCTGGCAGACCAACCACACAAATTGTTGGGTATCTTCGGTGATTTCCACAGCCGCTTGGACACGCCCTGGCCATATATTCTGTTTCACTCAACCAATAACACAAACCAGTTTCTAGCATAGTCTATGCATTGTCGAAGATGAAATAGAAATTATCATCTTTAGAAGAGTTGAGACATATATCTTGCCATGTATCCTGGGAAGATTTTTTTTACTGCCCATAATATCTATGTAAATTTGTGGAAGTATTAGACTATAAATATCTATCACTACTTGCTCCAATGCTTGTTCATGTCAACAAGCTTACTAGAACTAGTTTAAGATCCTATTCTTGACCTGAATCAAGAGATAGAGGCCCTGGAACAACTATAATATTGATTGTGGCATTTCATTTTATTGTCCTTTCTCCTTTTCTTTTAGCATGGTGAGTACTGTACCCATTCTCAAGTTTGCTGAAACAGAATGTTATGACTCTGCAGAAATTAAATAAAAGTTATTTCATTTTCTGATGTTTCGGTTCAAGTGTGTCTCAGTGAAGCTCTTTGACTGGAATCTCTCTGTTCTTTCTTTTCCATTTCGTTACTTTTGAGTTATGCTTGAAATGTATTTGTTTTTTGGTTGATTAAAAACAGGTAGGGCAGGACCACTCTGCTTGTGTTTCAGATAATAAAATACCGTAGTTTTAAATCTATTTATACAATTATTTATTTATTTATTTTTTTATGAAAGCATGTTTCACGCATGCACTTGTAAGGTTTTTTTTGGCTGTGAAAGTGTGTTTATGAAACACGTTTGTAGTGTAAAGTTGTGATCTCCATACACCGCTTTCATAAGGGCAAAGGTAGTCTAATAAATAATCTTATACATTTTGTTAGGGTCACATGTAGTGGACCAAATGCAGAATCTTCTTTGTCATCTGGAACATTCTGGATACATTTGCTGTTGTATCATGATCTGATCACATTATGAGTGTGTTCAGGGTCAGCTTGTCAATCCTCTTTTTAGTGTCCTATTTCCCCTTTTGCAACAACTGCTCAGTCGTTTGCTCGACACATACTCACTGTTGGGTAACCAAGGGGGGTGTTACATCAGCTGCCCCTAGTCTCTTCATATTTGGCTAGCAATGGTTTGTGTCGTGTTGTGAGTTGTCAAGTCAAATTGAATCAACATCTCACACGACCCATTTATTAAGCCATGAGAGACCGTGGTTGGGACGACACTGGCTCACAGATTGAACATTTTGCCATCGTTGCTCAAAGAAATTCAAAGGTATCCAAAAACTTTAGATGCCAGAGTTGAAACCTCATTACTATTGCTTCACCTATGATTCAGAGAAAGTGTAAAAACTTAAAATTGAGTCATGAAAAACTAAAAGAAAAACAAAGTGAAGAAAAGAGACCTAGGACAACCGGTCCCTACACTGGGGGTTCGGGAAAAATCAAATAAATCCATGGCTTGAACACGTGACCCCAAGATCAGAATGAAGAAAGAAAACCTTCTCCCTATACCAATGCCTGAAACAAGATTATACAAACTTAGAAAATATATAATTGATTGTAAACCATCACAGCAATCCTGATTGGTTTACCATTTCCAAAAGGTGAAAGAAATTTAGCATCTCATTTTATGGATACTAGGAGAAGTGAGGATACAAAATGGCAAGGAAAGAGAAACTTTACAGGAATCAATCTTACTTTGAAATTGCTTATAAAGGTGAGAGACATAACAATGATATAGAGATGCGCATATATTTTTCCTTATTGCTTATTTGCAAATCTAAAGGAAAGAAAGAAAACAGAGCCCAAAAATCTTTGCAAATTGGCTTGCAAACTAGTTAAAGCTTACCTATTATGAGTCTTGTTTAGCTTCATTGTTGCTGATCATAACATTCTTCTAAGCATTATTTTGTTCTTTCTCTTCATTCTTATTACAACCATGAATTCAATGTGGCNTGACCGTGGTTGGGACGACACTGGCTCACAGATTGAACATTTTGCCATCGTTGCTCGAAGAAATTCAAAGGTATCCAAAAACTTTAGATGCCAGAGTTGAAACCTCATTACTATTGCTTCACCTATGATTCAGAGAAAGTGTAAAAACTTAAAATTGAGACATGAAAAACTAAAAGAAAAACAAAGTGAAGAAAAGAGACCTAGGACAACCGGTCCCTACACTGGGGGTTCGGGAAAAATCAAATAAATCCATGGCTTGAACACGTGACCCCAAGATCAGAATGAAGAAAGAAAACCTTCTCCCTATACCAATGCCTGAAACAAGATTATACAAACTTAGAAAATATATAATTGATTGTAAACCATCACAGCAATCCTGATTGGTTTACCATTTCCAAAAGGTGAAAGAAATTTAGCATCTCATTTTATGGATACTAGGAGAAGTGAGGATACAAAATGGCAAGGAAAGAGAAACTTTACAGGAATCAATCTTACTTTGAAATTGCTTATAAAGGTGAGAGACATAACAATGATATAGAGATGCGCATATATTTTTCCTTATTGCTTATTTGCAAATCTAAAGGAAAGAAAGAAAACAGAGCCCAAAAATCTTTGCAAATTGGCTTGCAAACTAGTTAAAGCTTACCTATTATGAGTCTTGTTTAGCTTCATTGTTGCTGATCATAACATTCTTCTAAGCATTATTTTGTTCTTTCTCTTCATTCTTATTACAACCATGAATTCAATGTGGCCATGATTGATATCGCCCTTTTCTTCATTATTTTCTTCTCTACCTCGAGAATTTCATCATCTGACTGAATAATCTGCAGTTTCAAACGCCTGTCTTCTCAAGAATTTGATCATCTTCTTCATCTACTTCTTCTTCCTCCTCCTCAGCTTCCTCAAGAGTTTCATCATCTGATTGAATAAAGTGAAGCTTCAACCTCCCATCTTCTCGAGATGCATGCAGGAAATCTTGTGTTCGAATCCTAATCTCCTTAAGAATAAACCTGCCATCGTGCCGATAAGATTTAAAGCACACCCAAGGCCAACCACTTCTGCCTATACAAGATATGGGTGGAGGAAATGCCCTTCCACTTGTCCTTGATCTCTTAGAATCTCTGCATATATTTTCAGGCAGTGAATGCCTTCTATTACACGTTTTCTCTTCGTAGTGTGGCCAATCTATGTTCATTTCATTCTTCAAGTCCTCTAAATCATCAGAGCTTTCAAATCCAAGACCCTCTGTGCACAGAGAAAAATTATCGGAATTCATGGAAGAAAAGCTATTACTGTGATTGTATTTTCTTCGGGTTCCTGGATAATAATTTGCAGTGGGGATTTTGTTATTTCTCTCATTGCTACACAAGCTGCCATTGTTGTCTTTGTTGAGGTTTTCAATCCCAGCTTTTGGGTTCAAATCATTCAAAAATGATGATGAGGATGTTGATGACGACGACAATGATGATGATGAGAACAGCGAGGACGGAGATGAGGCAGGAAGGGGAGAGGATGAGGAAGATTCAGGATGATTCTCTTTGCAATGAAGCTCACCAAAGATATCTGTAAAAGAAGAGTCTTCAATGGGTTTCATGGCTTTAATCTGGTTCCATGGTGAGAAGGAATCGAGCAGTCTTGGACTTTCCGGCATTGGCTGTTGGAAGATGTGTTGAAGGCTTCCACAGACTGCCATGGCTTGGCTCTCCAGGATAATTGTTGGAGACAATAGGAAAGCAAATAATAGTTTATACAGGTAACCTTTTGTGTTTGTGCATGTATCAGAGAGAGGCTAAGGAGGAGAGATACACGGGATTGGCATGGAGGTGGATGATAATTAGTCAAGGGGAAGGTGCTATTTATTAGGGTATGCTGCTTTTAGGGGGCGATCTCTCTGTTGGGAGTGGAACAAGGATGGGTGGTTATGAGGGTTGTTATCATTTTTTGGTGGTCACCATTGTTTCTGCATTTGTATGTCATGCATACCTTTGGCCAATAAAAATGGATCCAAATCGCTTCTAATACATTTCTCTTCAATTTCATCCAACGGTAGATTACAACCCTTAATTCATAATATAACCCACGATTTATGAGTGGGTCCTCGATTCTAGTAAACATAGGTAGACAATGGTTTACCAAAGTTTTTACGTTTAAATTTACATGTCATGCACCCACGAAACAAAAGTATGTGGTTTATGATCCTTTTTATCGGATTCAAATCCCTTTGAGTAGAACTTTTTTTCCCCTCAATTTTCATTAATGCATTGATGAAGGACCACTGCTAGTTGCATTCATGATGGCTTATCTGCCATTCAGAGATAATTTCATCTTGATATATTATTATCTCACAAATTAATTTCAAAATGTGGGTTGGTCTATTGACTTACATCCCCAATTTGGCAATATCTAATCACATGTCATGGTATGATTTACAAGAGTACAAGTGATGGGATTAGTCAAAGGACATAAACTCATAACTGGCACATCTCTGACTCAAAAACGTCAAATAACCCAGGTCCCACTAATTTGGAATTTGATTTCAACGTGTTAAAATCGATCTCAACTTTTTAAAACTCCATTAAAACGTGACTTTTCTCAAATTTTTGGTACATTAGTTAGTGTTTTCCTTAATCATATCCACAGTTTCCTTTCTAGCTTAATCAAATTTCTACTATCATCTGAGATGTTCATACAAACTGAGCTAAGAAAGCTTTGGTTGTGTCAATTCTCATTGACACTAGTTGAAATCTATCCTCATTGGAAACTAGGATTTATAATAGATTATGCTGGACAACTGCCTATTTTTGCCTTCCCCTCCTATACTTTTCATTGCTATAAGACATGAGAATATTCCATACTGGTTCTTTTCCACTGTCCCAGCCTATTTAGAGAAACTGATTGGCTGCTATCATTCAACTCCAATGAGAGAATATTCAGTACAACGGTGATACCATGTCAGCATTAATGACATGATATCAATAACTAATAATAAAATTTCAAATGAGCGAAGTCAACCCTACTTAACTTGTTATTGACTTGCATAGAAGAGTAGTTATTTACTTATATGAATGGATAATAATTGACTTGATCGGAGTTTACTTTCTTATTTGTCTGTATATTATTGATTAATAATACTACGTGACAATGCTAATATGGTATCACCGTTTCAACGAATATTCAACTCCAATGGTGTATGTTAAATTGATATAACATAGTACAATGACTTGGACCACTTGGAAAGTAGGGGTCCATAGTGATGTAGTGCAACTACCTTTGCATGGATCATATCAAAGTTATAATCCAATGATACCAAATTACAATCCAAAAGTCCAAATTACGATTAAATGAGATCAATCTAGGATCGATCAAAAAAACTTTTAAATTGATTGCAACTTAATAAGGTCGATATAAAGCTTTTTTGAATGATGTGGACCACTTGGGAAAGTAGGTTCAGCTTCTAACCAACTACAGCGTTCCATGGCTGTAGTTGCATCAAAATACCCTATACTAATTGCGGTCCTAATGCAGCAGAAGGTACACGCACCATATTTGGTTTTCCACAGGGTTAAAACGATAGATTTTCCGAAGAAACTTAGACAGGGTGCAAGAGGTCTAGGCTCATCCTAATCCATATCAGGTAAACACAAGATGAATGATGTAACAGATTGTGGAATTGGCACCAAAACACATGAAAACCACGTTTTCGAAATGTCATAATGACATTACAAAAGGTTAAAGAGAACCACCAAGCAAGACACCTACCACACACAAACACATGGACAATTCACAATTTTCACAACTTCCAAATCTAACAGACCTGCACTTACCCTGTCACAGAAAAAGTCGGGGCCCGAAAGCTATTGAACAAACTTCACCGCCAGGCTTCAATCCGCTCTGTCCGTGAATTTATACGGCTCAAATTGCTAATACCCTTGCTCTTATTCTCAGGTCCCATTGCCTGAAGTACAGGTAGCTGCTGCCCATTAATTCTTCCAAAACCCTTTTTTTCATCAGAGTCACTTGATTGGCCTATTTTGCTCCTGTTGATGTAGTCCTCAACTTGAGTCTTCCGACAATTCTTTGTCACATTATAGACTTGTGTAGGAGTTTCACAAGACCCGCCTCCATCAGATACCTTACTGGTAGTTGAATGATTAGCATATTCTTCGTCAACGGTGTTATTTACTTGATTAGACTCAGAAGTACTGTCTACATCAGGTTCTTCAGCACTGAAGGCCTGTTCTGTCTCTTCATTTGCTTCAGCAGGATCTTCCATACGAAGCTTTGAGGGACCCTGATGCCCATTTTCGTCAAAAGGCTCAAGGTGGGAAACAGGGGCTGATTCTACCACGGCATCTTCTCTTTGTTGTAGTGTCTTTTCAATTAGTGTCTTTAGGAGGTTCATCACTTGGACCGCATACATCAATGCAGTCAAGGGATCTGCCATCTGCAAAACATTAGATAAAAACCATCGATCAGATTTTCCATCAGAGTTGCTGTCATAAATGTTCTAGCACCCAAAAAAATATTTCAACTAACTTGCGTCATGTTAGGTGCAAACACCATTGCTATGCTATGTGCATTCATCTTGTTAAGATGTTCCTCTTGGACAACGTCGGCCATCAGGTTGATGGCCCAATCCAGCAGAGCAGTTTCGGTTGGAGGTAGAAGCCTGACAAGTGCCACACATTCCTCCTCCGACTGGCACTGCATTACCTGTTCAGATGAAAGAGAATCCAGTACACCCGTCGGAAGTTCTCTGAACCAAGCCTGTAGAATTATATTAACATTAAATCAATGCAAAATATGCGAACTAAGGCAAAACAGTTCATTCCATGTGCTTTTTAGACTATTCTTTATTGGGTAAGAAACAAGTTAATTTCTGCAAATACTCGAGGAGAATACTATTTGGAGAACAATTGTCTCACTAACTGCGGTAAGGTTGGTGAACAATTTCTATTATTTTCAACCGATTAACTCCTGATCTTCTAGAGTGATTATTTTTTGTTATCTTACTTCTGGTGAACAATATTTCAATTTTATTTGGTAAAATAATCAGTTAATTTAAAAATCATAACTTCAATTCAAGAACTACATCTTCACTGCATTTTGGCTACATTAGCTATGCTAAAGTCCCAGACCAAAATATGGAGGCAAAAAAAAAAAAAAAACTGTGCATAAGTTGGGTTGTGTTTGTTAACCAAAATTTAACACTTAAAATGAATGTATGTCGTATTTATTAATTAAGCCAGTTTGATAACTAAAATTAAAATTCTTAATATGTTAAATACTCCTTAAAAATAGGCTAAAATATTAAGTAAGAGATCATTTATAAAAGAGAAGCATTTTTATAATTTTTTCAATATGATAATTTTACCATAAAATGTTTCACAATCCTTTTTGCCTCCTTTTCTATTGCTTACACACAAGACACACACAAAAATAATCACACACACCCTGACATAAATTACACACAATCACAAAGATTTACACACATTTACTACACACACAATCATTAAATTAGGGCACCTACAAATATTTGTTATTTTATTTATAATATGTACAAAAATTTTGAATTTGTTTTTAATATTTGTTATTGTTCGATTATTCAATATGTTATTATTATATTATTGCTTTGTTTGGTTAACAATTTATTTGTTCAATTTTTTTTTGATAAGATTTGTTCAATTATTTATGCATGTTTGTTGAATTTGATATTGCTTAATTTTTTCTAGTTCAATTCTATTTTATGAATTACTTGTAGTGATATATTTTGATTTTTTATTAGGTAAATTTATACTTTATAAATATTTTGGAAGTAAAGTGTGAAGGGTAAATCTAAAAATTAGTTTATTTTTGTTAAGTTGAGTGAATTAACATAATACAATATTAGAGAGAAAGAGAGGTTAAAAACTTAACCTAACTCTCATACAACACTTATATTTATAGTTAACTCACAATAATAAGAATTACACATACACTCTCTTACTATTAACAATTTACATATACTATCCTAATATTTTTAAAACTCCCCCTCAAATTGGACTATATATATCATATAATCCAAGCTTGGAACAAATCGCTGTAAAACGTGTACGACTCAATGCTTTGGTAAACATATCTACAAGCTGATCTTCAAATTTTACAAATAGAGTTGTAATCTCTCTAGCTACTATCTTGTCCCGAATAAAGTGACAATCAACCTTGATATGTTTGGTTCTCTCGTGAAACACCGGATTGACAGCGATATGAATAGTTGTCTGGTTGTCACAGAACAACTGAAAAAGAAGTTGAACTGGAAATCTAATTTCCTGGAGGAAATGTAGTAGCCAAGTCAACTCACTCGTCGTATGTGTCATTGTTCTATACTCAGCCTCAGCACTAGATTTTGCTACCACAGATTGTTTTTTACTTTTTCATGAGACAACGTGACCTCCTAAGAAAGTACAATAACCAGTGGTTGATCTCCGATCAAAAGGAGAGTTAGCCCAATCAGCATCAGAGAAACCTTTCACTTTAAGATGTTCATTAGCTCAATATAACAATCCAAGTCCACAAGCACGTTTGAGATATCACAGAATACGAGTAACTACCTCCCAATGTGGTACTCTAGGACACCCATGAATTGATTTACTATACTGACTGCATAAGAAATATCCAGTCGAGTAATAGTGAGATAATTGAGCTTCCCAACCAATCTGAGATACCGACCAAGATTCTCAAACAGTGCACCATCATCCATCAAAAGTTTCTGATTCGGATCCATAAGAACATCAATAGGTCTACCACCCAGCAAATCTGCTTCCTCTAGTATGTCAAGCACATATTTCCTCTGGGATAAACAAATACCTTGTTTAGATCGAGCTACCTCAATACCCAAAAAATACTTGAGTTTCTCAAATTCTTAGTATGAAATCGATCCTGCAAGAATATTTTTAACTTGATAATCCCCTCAGAATCATTTTCAGTAATCACAATATCATCTACATAGACCACCAATAGAACATATCCTACATCTATCTGTCTATGAAACACAGAATGATCTGTCTGACATCGAAGAAGACCAAATTCTAAAACTGCATTTGAAAACTTACCAAACCATGCCGTCGGTGACTGTTTAAAACCATACAAAGATTTCTTTAACCGACATACACTCTTACCATACTCCTCCTGAGCAGTAAACTCAGGTGACTGCTCCATGTATACCTCTTCAACCAAGTCACCATGTAAGAAGGCATTCTTGACGTCTAACTGAAACAAGGGCCAATCAAGATTATCAGCCAAAGAAATCAAGATATGAACAGAAAAAATTTTGACAACAAGAGAGAAAGTCTCCTCATAATCAATATCATAAGTCTGAGTAAAGCCCTTTGCAAAAAGTCGGGCTTTGAAACGCTCCACAAAACCATCCGGATGAAATTTAACAGTATACACCCAACGACAACCAACAGTTCGTTTATCAGGAGGTAAAGGAACGAGATTCCAAGTCCCATTATGATGTAAGGCATCCATCTCCTCCTCCATAGCTTTCCTCCAACTCGGATCAGATAATGCATCCTATAATTGCTTAGGAATAGATATAGTAGATAATTGGGAAGTAAAACAAGAGAAGACAAGAGATAAGGCATCATATGAAACAAAATGAGCAATGGGATGATCAGTAACACACGAACGAATACCTTTTCGAAGAGCAATAGGTAAAGAGTTTAAATTACCTAATGTACCAGGATCAGAAGGCAGCAAGGAAGATGATACGGGCACCTTTGTCGATGGGCGAGGACGGCGATCAGAAGGCGGTAAGTCAGTTCATGGGATGTCCTAGAGTACCACATTGGGAGGCAGTTACTCGTATTCTGCGATATCTCAAACGAGCTCCTGGACTTGGACTATTATATCGAGCTAATGAACATCTTAAAGTGAAAGGTTTCTTTGATGCTGATTGGACTGACTCTCATTCTGATTGGAGATCAACCACTGGTTATTGTACTTTCTTAGGAGGTCACGTTGTCTGGTGAAAAGGTAAGAAACAATTTGTGGTAACAAGATCCAGTGTTAAGGCTGAGTATAGGGCAACGGCATATACGACGAGTAAGTTGACTTGGCTACTACACTTTCTCCAGGAAATTGGGTTTCCAGTTTCAACTTCCTTTACAGTTGTTCTGTGACAACCAGACAGCTATCCATATCGCTGTCAATCTTGTGTTTCACGAGAGAACCAAGTATATTGAGGTTAATTATCACTTTATTCGGGATAAAGATAGTAGCTGGGGAGATTACAACTCCATTTGTGAAATTTGAAGATCAGCTTGCAGATATGTTTACCAAAACATTGAGTCGTACACGTCTTACAGCTATTTGTTTCAAGCTTAGATTATATGATATATATATAGTCTAGTTTGAAGAGGAGTGTTAAGAATAGTAGGGTAGTATGTGTAAATTGTTAATAGAAAGAGAGTGTATGTGTAATTCTTATTATTGTAGGTTAACTATAAATACAAGTGATGTATGAGATCTAGGTTAAGTTTTTTTAACCTTTCTCTGTTTCTCCCTAAATATTGTCTCTAATATTATGTTAATCTTCCAAACTTAACACTTCTCAACGTCAACTGCGATAAATACCCAACAACCAGGCAACCACAACAACTCAACACCAGTCGACGGTGTCAAGAACACCCAGTCGACTACACACCGATACAGTACCAGAGGGCACCACCGAAAAACAGATACGAAAACCACCACGAAAAACCACCACTCCTTGACCACCAACGTCGACTACACAAGTTGACTACCACCACCACCACCAGATAAGACACGACGAACCACAACACAGACGACGACAAACGACTGCGTAACGAGCAACAACACAATCGACAACACCACCACAACAGTATCACCACACCACCACGATGCTTCGACAACACAGGATCACCACCATAAACAAAAAGTTAATTTATTCAGAATATATATTTATGATCGTAATACTCTAATACCATGTTAAATTGAGTGAATTAACATAACACAATATTAGAGAGAAAGAAAGAGGTCAAAAACTTAACCTAACTCTCATACAACACTTATATTTATAGTTAACTCACAATAATAAGACTTACACATACACCCTCTTACTATTAACAATTTACATATACTACCCTAATATTCTTAACAATTTTCATATGTCACTTCTGTGTAGTTATTAAATAGTTCATTTTAATTTAATACTTAAATTTCAGTAGGTATCAAAAAGTCCGCGAATTAAAATTTTAGCATTTAATATTTAAAATTCATCATTCAGTTTTCAGTATTCAACTTTCAGTTTTATCAAATAGCACCTTAGTGAAGAACTTAAGCTACCACTACTGGCCTACAAGCCCAAATAGGAATTATATCTATTTAGTCAAGAATAAATGCTATCATGTTGTGATTGGAAACAACTAATGGCCAATCGATATACAATTTTGAGCGAATAGAATTAGTAGAATAATATTTGTCAATAGAACTAGCAATTTCTATCAAACAGAACTTAGTGCATTGTAAGCATGACACAATAATTTGTAAGCATAACTGCTGACATGACAGTGATCAATTCACTATTGGTGAATTAAGAGTGATACTAATGTTCTCAAGCCAATTATAAGCATGTTACAAACAAAACACAGTTAGAAAAGAATCAACTGTTATCGTGTTTTAGAGCTACACCTTGATGAGACCTGCTAAACAGTGCACATCAATGCCTTCGGGAACCACACCCCTGTTTAATTGGTCCCTGACAAATTCCTCCTGGCTATTTTCTGCATTGATTCTGAAGATCCCTTCTGCCTGCACTTTGGAATTTAACAATTTAAACAGACTTCAGGGCAAACAAATTCAACAACATAACCAAGAAAGAGTCCACTCCACAAAACTTCCAGCAAAAACAATTAAGAGTTGGTTACACATCATATCTCATTGTTTGTTGCATATAATTTCACTATGAGAAAGAAAATGGATAATGCACCTGCAAGCCTCCTTGAGCATACAAATGCCTTTGCATCAGCAGAAGAATTGTTGGAATACTGTTCCCTCTGTGGTCAAATGACAACTGCATGGACTCTGTAGAAACTCCAAAAACGGTGGCACTGCATATAAAACCCCACTTCTTAAGGCATTTAAAGGAAGCTATACTGCAAGTACAATAATATCTTGACTTTAAACAAACTACAGCCATGATGGTACCAGATGGTCATGATGGTACAGAGTGATCCAAACAGATACGGAACACATAACAATGTTTACAAACTTCAAGGAACAAAGTCATTAAGTATGCCATGATTGATCCATAAACAAAAACAATTGTGGCTTTGATAAAAAAGGTGGCAGAGTATCAAAACTTAACTCTATGAAGCCATTCTGAACTATTTGAGACCAGCTATATGAATCCTGTTCCGTCATTCAGAACATTTTGCTCTATTGACAGCCATATTTTCTGTCAAATTGCAAGCTATCAATTCATTTTCCACTATGGTGCGTCTAGTTAATTTTTTAATGAGAATTTCCCCACAGTTGATTCAAATAATTCAAAATTATATGTGAGCATCAAGGAAGCACGGATATGGACATGGGTGTCGTATCTAATACGATACGGACACAGAGATACGATAAAATTCTAAAATATAGGACACGGGTACGACAAGGATACGGTTAATTAAAATAATATAATATATTTTTATATATATATAATAACATTAATAATAAATTTAAGTAATTAATTAATATTTTATAATTGGAGAAAATGAACTAATATTAAATCTGATTAGGGGACTAATATATTATGGGCAGTGGGCTAAACCAAATTGGGTAGTGGGTGACAACTAATAAGGTATGATTGTAATTTAACATAAAATATAAGAAGTCTAAGGGTTACTTGTAAAGTGTAATTTAGCAATTAGGGCAAAGAAAAAAGGAAAAGAAAATAACAGGGGCTGAAACGTAATTATGAGAAACCCTTGCTGAAAAGAAAAAAAGAAGAAGAAAACAACGTGATTGTTGTTTTTCAACAACTAGGGCACGCCGCAGGTTCTATCGCAGAGGAGCAATAAAAATGACTGAGAGAGAGAGAGAGAGAGTAGTCGAAGAGATCTGAAGACGACATACCTGCTCGAAGAGAAGGTGATCTTTGGTTGTGGCAGTCAGTGTTTTGAAAAGCTCACCTAGGCGCTCGCCTAGGCGAGAAGCGAGGCGAGGCGAGGCAAGCTTATCTCGCCTGGAGGACCCCAGGCGAAGTGAACGTGAGTGAAGCGAGAAAAAGCAAAAAAGTGAAAAAGCGAACGCTTTATTATAAAAAGCGATTCTGCTTCACTTTTTTTTTTTTTTTTTCTGATTACAGGTTAGTAGTCTATTTTATTTTTTAATCACTAATGACTTTTTTTTTAGACTATTGCTAGTCTATTTTTTTTTTCTAATAAACAATGTTTCGAACAAAACACATTCCTTTTTTTTTTCCTTGTGTTGTTGAATTTATTTAGAATATTTGTGGGATGCGGAAGTCAGGCGACTGCACTGCATGACAATTATGATATAAAAAGGAAGCAGGAGTATCAGAAATGGGGGTAAATAATAGATTCTTCTACAAAGAAGTGTCTCTGATATGTCTTGGTTATACTTTTCCCTTTTCTTATATATATACAAATGGTACCAAAAAGTGGTCTATGCTTATACCATGTTTAATTATTTTAGTACATGTGAAATGTGCCTCTGTTCTGCTTTTTTTTATTCAGTATATAATTACATATGAAATTGTTTACAATTGATTCTGCTCCTGTCATGATCATTGTGCTTCTGTTTTTTTTTTAGCTCATTCTGCTTCTATTTTTTTTTGTTGATTCTGTTGCTGCTTCGGTTTTGCTGTCCAGTGTTGCTTTTGTTTTTTTTTTTATCCTCATTCTGCTTCTTTTTTTTTGTTGCTAATTCTGCTGTTGTCCTGATTCTGCTTCTTTTGTTGTCCTACCCTGTCAATATGAAAATGTATACAATTGTTAGTATTTGTTTGAATTTAAATGTTTAAGTTATGACTGTTATTAAGATTTGAGATATTATTAGTGTTTGTTTTAATTTAAATGCTTATGGTTTTACTTGCATTTAAATATTTAGTATATATAAAATTAGAACTTAGATTGTTTAGAAGTAATTAAACTAAAATATATATTTTTTTAACTGTTCGCTTTACTTCGGTAAAGCGTGTCGCTTCGCTTCTCGCCTAGGCGTTAGGAGCCTTGGTCGCTTCGGTTCGCTTTACGCCTTAAATAACACTGGTGGCAGTCGTAGTGGTTGATCAGGTACCGTCTTCTTCAGCCCCCTTTTTTTTTATCCAAGGTTTCAACATAGATCCATGGTTGTGGGCCGTATCACTCCCGTGTCCGTGCCGTATCTGTCCACAACAAATGCTTCTTCACTGTATAGGACACTTGTGTAATTGTCGGACACGTGTCCGATACCATCACATTGACCCTCCGAGGAGTATCCGTGCTTCTTAGATGAGCATATATAGTGTAATTAAACAATGTAAGCCTTTCCCAAACCGAGGATGTGGATTCAAAGGCAAACTGCAGATTCCATATTCATTCTCAACCACCGAATCTGACTTTCTGCATAGGGATTGGGCTCTTTGATCAGCCCAAGGTTTGTTATTTGTTGTTGCCAATATATAGTCACGATTATATTTGCTTAGCTAGATATGTACAGCTGCTGCAAACACTAAGAAGTAAACTAGAACATGATTACCACAATTCAGTAAACCCTTAACGATCCACGATCTGGATACATCGATCCCAAACAAGGTGGGTTCGCGATCCATTTCACCAAAATAGATGACTCTAACTTATAATACTAACCTTAAATCAATTTGATTTAGAGCATGTAGAACAAATAAAAAATACATATTAATTGACTACATGTATATGGATTATAATTATATATCATTTTAGATAATAGAAAATCAAGTACAATTATATGATAAATGGTAACTAACTTAGTATTTATAAATGTTCTATAATATATAATATTGTGTAGTAGTGAAAACGATCAACATACGAATTCCAAAACGAATTGCGACTCAAAATACCAGACCAACTAAACATACCCCCATTGTATCGCGTACCTAAGCAAATGTATATCATGTACCCGTACCCACATCACGTATCAAAGCAACCCACGATCCTAGTAACATTGAACCAGAACATGAAAATTGAATCACCTTTTTCTTGCCTTTTAGAGCACGGGCAAAATGAAGTACAAATTGACCTTCATAACCTATATTTGCTATGAAAGAGATTTGGTGAAACTCAGGGGTCGTTTGATTCATGTTTTTATTTCATGTTTTTTGTTTTTGTTTTTACTTTTTGTCAAAAAAACAAAACAAAAACGTGTTTAGGTTTGTGCTTCTGTTTTATATAAAACAAGTTGTTTTGTATAAAACAAGTTGTTTTGAAAACAATGCCAAGAAACAAGAAACAAAAAAAAGATGTTCTCAGACACAAGAGAAACATAGACAAGGCATGCGAGGCTAGGAAGAGTTAATGAGATCCAGGCTTAGATTTTTTTTAGCAACAAACAATGGTCTTTTTTTTTNGCGAGGCTAGGAAGAGTTAATGAGATCCAGGCTTAAATTTTTTTTAGCAACAAACAATGGTCTTTTTTTTTGAAAGTATAAAAACACAATTTAGTCTGTCTCTCCCCTCTCTATATCAAAAGAACGTTGCCTCTCTCTCCATCACCTCTCTCGCCTCCGTCTATGCAATGAAGACCGAATCCATCACAAAGAAATTGAAGAGCTAGAGGTCTCATGAAGAAAAGATCCGCTCTCTTCTCCGTCTCACACGAATATCTCTTTTTGAAGCCCTACCTGTTCGATAACGAGAATTGGAGCTCTCTCTGAACTGTGCTGGTTCATTAATCAAATCGGTTAAACAATTCACTCATTAAAAAATTGTTTAAATCAGCCCGAACTGACCAATTTTATAAACCCGTTACAAACCGAACCCGTTGACAACTAGACCATTTACAATCCTAATATGTCTAAAGATGTGGTCTACCTGAGTGAAGAGGCGGTCCACTTGGCTCCCCTCTGCTATAGGAACACATGACAGGCCATCAAGCCAATGTCAGCTTTCAAAAAGGGCAATGGGTTGCTCTTTTATAAGGCTGGTTGACCTCACCTCCTCTTGTGGTTTACCGATGTGGGACGTTCTGTAGTGTATCAAAAATTTTCTTAATTCTTCTCGTATTTTTTTAATACCTTTTAGTATATATTTGAGCTATTTTTTTTCTCTCAATTTGTATTTTATTTTTTTGGGGTCATCACATTGCTATTCTTTATACCAAATATTCAATACTTATTAGTTAATTTTTTTATGCTCTATCGAATTATATAAAACATATGTGCAAACAAATTAAAGATTGAGCATATTTTTTGTCATTCTATTTCATCTACTATAACATAAAACATGTTATTTTTGTAACTATTGTATAATTTTAGAATATTTATTATTATTATTAATTATTTATATTATTAATTATATGACCGGTTGGACAGTGACCCAACGGTTGAACCAATGATCCGGTCTCTTTGTCGGGTTGATCTCCAGAGGGGTTTAAAAACTATGCCCAGATATATATATATATATATACACACAGAGATATTTACAGGACTTGGGTGTTTGTGTCCATGGGTATGTGTGCGATTGTGAGTTGGGTCTGTGTGCGATTGTGAGTTGGGTCTGTGTGTGTATGAGTTGGGTTTGTGTGTCCGTATGAGTTGGGTGTTTTCATGAATGTTCAATTGCCCTGCACCTGATCGAAGAAATGTTTGACAACAAAACCGCAATGCCACCAACTCAGAACAAGCAATTGGGTATCATTCCAACACTACAACCTATACCCCCAAATTGAAGTTGCAATTAACCAATGAACTACTTTGATGTTGGGATATGCCTCAAATGGGAGGCTTGAGCAGGTTTTGAGATAAATTGTTTGGATGGAGTAGGAAGGCTTCAACACTGATGTTGTCACGGTTGCCACAGTTGTTCCAGTGTGTGAAAAATTGAGGGCTTTAATCCAAGGGAAGGAAATTCAAGCTTATGTTGTTAACTGTAGTATGTTCCCTAATGAATCTATGGTTATGATGTATGCAAAGTGTGGTGTTTTGGAATATTCATCTAAGTTATTTGCTATAGTTAATGAATTATGAATTTTGATTTGTATTTTGTAATAGGACATTTTATAAAGCTAATAATTATGATATAATTTGAAATGGTTACCAAACATATTTTTTGTTTTTATTTTCATAATTTGGCAAACATAAACGACTACTAAACATGTTTTCTGTTTTCAATGTTTACCACAAAACAAAATAATAATTGTCTATATTTTTTGATTTTTCGAAAACACAAAAACAAGAACGTTACCAAACGCACCCTCAAATTTCCAACCTACAAGTTTTCAATGGTAAATGAAAAACTTGGTCAATAGAGAAGCAAAAAGGGCACAAAGCCAAAAAGAAAAGAGAAGAAAAAAAACAAACACAGAAGAAAACCACGTAGGCAATGTATCTCCTAAAAAATATTTCAGGAAAAGGCACCACTTTTAGCTAAGAAGTCATCCTCTAGATTGGTTGTCCTAGGAATCTAAGATATAGAAATATATCTCTAGTAAAATCTGCAGTGTCTCCAATCAAATTGAGAACAAATAAAGACCCTTTCTAGAGATAACCCTCCGGCCCCCTAGGACAAAAAAAAAATGAGAAAAAAAGGAAAAAACACTTAGACTTCATCCTTTAACTTTAACATACAATGAGACTGAAAATTTGCAATATCACGGAAGTTCTTTAAAACTTGGCTTGCAAACGTCCCAATGTTGCCAATAAACAGACCAGTACAATTAGGTTGAAGTAGTACAATTTGTTACGTTTGCAAATAGAGTGGGTGGAATTGAAAATAAGTCTTTTGCAGACATAATGACTACTTCAAGTTTCAATATGTTTTGTTCTTCTCATCCTTAGTCTCAGCAACCAAAAACACAACTAAACTATTATTTCTCGGGAGATACAGTTCTCACTGCTTCATCATCCTAAACCTCAGTCCAGCTATTAGGCTATCAGTATTTGAACGCCATTAGTGTCTATCACACTTTTCAAGGGCAAAACCATATGAAGTAACAATGGTTCCAAATAACTTACTCCAGTCAATGGGATCCTACTAGATGTAGCATAATATTCCTTCCATGCATCTAAAAGGATATTTTGTACTCTAACAAAATGTAGCAACATAGAGTTCAGTTCGGTTCTTTCTCCTCTACAAAGAGAGGCATAAATGAGATATATACTCCACACACCAATGGTAGCACGGCCTGATATATAGAGAACTAAATGCTATACAATCAACAAATGCAGAAGCAACATGTATTAAAGGATGTGGATCTGGTGTGAACTGCTATGCTACTTGTATTGGATATCTGGCATTAAGTTGCATGAGAGTCAAGGAAATGAAAACTATTCTATATAAGAGGCTTGACATAGCACCAGAACTGATTGAAGCGGAGGTATATCCTTAATTTGTTGGAATTTCCCTAACAACTAGCAAGAGTAATTGACATTTGATGAACTTGGTTCTCAAACTATGCAAGAACTGAAGAACAAATGGCGAGAAATAAAATAGGTGTGAGATCATTCTCCCAAGAATAGACTGGTTCGAGAACCTGAACTATGTGCATATTACTCAATTTGTTATCTTCAACAGCACGATTCCATTTATGTTGTCAACAAAAATCAGGTACTCTACATGTCAATGTTGAAGCTCCTTTCTCTTTTATTTCTTCTCATCTCCGATGGCCCTTTAATTTTAGTTTTCTTAGATCCTTCAATCTTTCAGACTCAAGTACCCATAGTGGAGGGTGGAAACAAGATCCAGTAGTATCAGTTAGAGTCCCAGATGCGTGAAATCTACAGATGTTTACGTCAATATTCTTTAAAGTCTATGCGCAGTCAGAATTAAACATACTCGTCAAAGTTCAAACCACTTTTTGCATGATGTCAATTATATTTTTCTAATCTTCTTGTTGATTTCTGAAGCAATAACACCACATTATTTCTTGCAAATCAAATTTCATGGAGCAAGACCAAGGCACCACTGCTCAAGGCTACTGAAAGCAGCAGGGGGAATCATATTTATATCACATAATATGAATCAGGGATGATATCTATTCTTGTCTCTATTCTTTTGTCCCCTTATGGATATGTGAAAGAAGGAATGAAGAAGGGGACCAAGAAGGGGGTGGCAACTAAAGTACACATGGACTATACAATGGATAAATAACGAACAAAGATTCCAAAATCAAAACAACTTGTTGGGCACAACTAAAGGAAGGAAAAAAATGTTACCCAGAGCAATTTGTCAAAACATGCATGTCATGACACACATAATTTATTCCCAAATATATGCATGTTATAATTAGAATACACAAATCACATGGAAATATAACATACGTACAAACAACATATACACCATAAAAGCATGTAAAAATTTTAACCAGAAGATGCAGGATAATTGCACGATGCTAGTTCTGAAAAGGTTGATGTGTTGATTTACAAAAAGGAGTTGTTTGTAAAATTTTACTCTTTGGGCTTGTTATGATTTAAAAAAAACTTGTTGCCTTCTTTGTCTTCCATAAGTTTATTGAGCTGTTGGGGCTTGTTTTGCAACAAATAAAAAAGTTCTTTTTCCTTTTTTATTGTGCTTAGACTCCGAAGCTGCTTGTTTCTAAATGCATCACCAACAAGGAAATTAACATTACACAATTATTAAAAATACGAATGCATGTGAGAGATATTGAATACTTAAGTGCTAATGCTTCTGGCTTTGCATTCAGAGATATGTACATTTTGAAAATTCTGCAGTTCTTGACTGCTAACCACTTCATATGATTTATTGTTTGTTGTGTCTCTTCCCCAACAGTGAATACGATTACAGAAATTTACATACCTTTACTGTTGACTTATGCCTTAAATGCATCAAGTATTTCAGTATCCAAATCTACCTTTTCCTATGTGGGTGAATCGCATGTTTCCCAACTTTGAAGCAGACCACAACCCAATTGACGATAGAATATAGGAGAAGAGAAATGAACCCAATTTCGGGCAATGACCAATAAATCAAACAAGAAATCAAGTTGATCCCTTCACAGCAGAGTTGCAAATTAATAAAACTCTTTCAGTCCCTCAGATGTTTGATGCCAGAGTAATCAGATCTCATTAAGTTCTCCCAGAATTTATATATAACTTGCATTCTCCAATACTAACATAACAAAAATTTACCAATTAAACTTAAAAAATTAATAGTTCCAGGAAAAGAAAAACCCATCTTCAAAATATACACTTCAATCAAGACTACTCATGAGCAGTTATCCAAATTCTCATAAAAATGAGGTACCAACAAAATATTTCGGCAAAATCCAAGATTCCAAGAATCCCAGAACATATGAATGCCAAGCAGAATGACATTCAACAGCGCCATTAAAAGAGCTTGAAAACAGATTAAATTAAACGAACCCACAACTACATACATGGACAAACCAATAGATCACCAAAACATATCCCATTTCAAATCTCCCACCTATTACCCAAATTCCCCAAAATTAAAAATTCAAAAAACAGGGAACTTAACAAAGAACCAAAAACAGAAAACCCACATTAAGGTTTTCTTTTCAAGAATAAAAACCAATCAAGATTCAATGTACCTTGCACTAGGGGCCCTCCTGGACACTTCAAGCTCAAACTCCACAGGCAAACCCAAGAACCCATTAAACCTATCAAAAGTAACATGCGCAACATGGCGCACATTAGAGGGCCACCCAATCTCCATACCACCACCACCACAAAGCTCTTCGCTATCAGTCTTGCAAGCAACCCAGAAAGACTTCCTAAAGAGAGTCACCAACAGTGCCAACAAAGACAACTGATCCCTTTCTTTTTCTTTCTCCTTTCTGTCACCTTCTGTCCCCCTAGAAATCCCGTCCTCCTCTTCTTCTTCTTCTACAAAAGACTGCCTTTGGAACAATGCGTCATTGTGGGTGGTGGGTGAAAAGGAGGAAGAAGTGGAGGAAGAGGACGAGGGTGAGTGGAGGACCTCTGTCATGGCTATGAATTGACAAATGGGTTTCGTCTTGTTTTGGAAAGATTTTGATTAAAGAATTAGTATTCGAGATTTGGAATGGGATTAAAGAAAGAAAACAAAGATGGGGTTCAACTTCAATGTCGACAAGGGTGTTTGGTAGGAGGGAAATTAACAAAGAAAATATACGAATTAATAAGGGATGGAGGGTGGAGTTGAATGGAAGCAATATTAATGCGTGGGCAATTCGGGATGGGACGTGAGAATCACGAAGTGATTTATTTTTTGGGATTTTATTCTGTCTCTGGACTGGATCTTGCTCACCTTTGGACCAATGGAGCGTTGAAGAAGCAATCCATGTAGAGAGAGAGACAGAGAGAGAGAGTTTGCTGCTTCAGGTGGACGCTTTGTTGATGTCTTCTTCGTGCTTTGGCTGTAAAATTCAGCAAAGCAGTGTGGTTTGGAGTCTTGGCATCTTAAGGAGCCAATAAGGTTTTGCCATAGGAGCAATCTAGGGCTCAACCAAGTTCATTCAGATCAAAGTTATTCTCACGGCTTAAATTCTTTGCTTGTATTGGCTAACTTATCGAGAAGTTTATGTTTTTAAGAGAGAACAATTATGGCTGGGATCGTACCAAGATTAATGTTATTTGGATCTAAATATTTTATTTAATTTGTTGACATAAAAATATAATTTTATTGAAATTATTTGATTAACATTAAATTTTAATATTTAATAAAATTTATAATCAATTCAAAAGTCATAATAAATTAGGTCATTTAATGTTTTGATAACATTGCTTAAATTATAAAGAGAGAGGTTTATATTTAAGTGAGAACGATTATCGGTGTATCGTATTAAAAATTATAAAATGTTAAGATTAACTTGTATCTTATTATAGAACCAAGTTATACTTCAAAAGATATGATCTATCTTTAAGCCAGTAATAACTTGTGTCTAAAGTTATTATATAAATCATGTAGCATAAATCTAAATTTATGTCTATAATCCATATTATAAAATAAGACAGACTTGAATAAGTCTATTTGACGGTCTCAAAAGATATATTTATATTACTTATAAAAGTATCTTAACGAAAAACTTTTAATTCTCTAATATTTCATTAATTATTATTGTAAAGTTCATTTAATCTCTAATCCAATAATTAGTATAATTATAATCAATTTCAATTTTTGACCTTGCGTATTTAGGGATTAAATTTCTAACTGATGTATGGATCAATTATCAATTAAGTTTGGATCATTTCATAGCCTCTTCAAATTCTAATTAGTTTGCAACCAATTAGACCTCTTTATACTCTCGATTCTTTCACACCACAAACTAATACAGACTCCATGAATTCTTTTGCATCAATGATCAATGTATTATATATTAACTAGAGACCTTCCATTCAAGCATTAATATTTAGTTTCTTTTATGGAATGATAGACAAGGTGAAACGGGTCTCTATTCTAAAGTCCTTTGGTTTAATCTCCACAATATAATCTCTATTATATGTATGCATGCTTGTGTTCTAAATTTTTGTGTGTATATACATATATATAATCAAATTGCTTTTTTATTTCAAATCTGATTGACTTCATCTCTGCAGACGCTAAGAGTATTATGTAATATAGAGTACAAATAAAATCAAAGATTGTAGTAGCAATAACAAAATCATGTACCCTAAATTATTTTTGAATTGAGATAGTTTTTTTTTATTATTATTCTAAGAATAATTTTTTATGTTTGTATGTCCATTGCGTGTTGAGTTTAGATTAAAAATTAATCGGTTTAATTTGATATTTTATGTGTCATTTTGTTCTTTTAATGTATAGATTTGGATATAAAAAGGCTTTGATTGAATATTTTGCTTGGATTGCATCAATTGAGTGTTCTATAGGTGCAATCAATGGATTTCTTCAAGTCAAAAGCAATCTTAAAGTGGTATTGTTATCTCATATTCAACTACAAAACTCAGCTTTATTTCTTTAATTTTTTTCGCATGTGTTAAGCTTCGCCGGAAGAAATTAGTCAAAGTATTTTCTTTTAAACATTGCACAAACAGTGACACAACTCATTGATTTTACGTAGGGGTGCAACTTGGGCAAGCCAACTCGAATTCAACCCGAGCCCAACTTGAAAAAAACAGGGCTTGAGTTAGAATTTTTAATACTTGAGTTGAGTTTGGACAAAAAAACCTCAACCCGAATTGAATTTGAGTAAGCCTCGGATTGTCGGGTTCAACCCGAATATTAAAATTAGGTTGAACCCGAATATATATAATATATATTTAATTAGAGTTAGTATTTATCTTCACACTTTAGAATCCAGACTTTCTATTCACTTCAAGTCTTCACCCTTGCACCTCTATCACTCTCAATCTCTCTCTCACTCGTTACTCTTCCCTCTCTCAGCCTCCCTCTTTCACTCATCACTCCTCTCTCTCTCACTCCCTCTCTTTTCATCGGCGTCTTGCCCTTCATTTCATATCACTTGAAAAAAATTAGATTTACATTTGAAAAAATTAAATCTACAGTTTAAAAAATCAATCTGAATTAAGTAACTTAAGTCCAATCCAATTTTTAATTTGAAATTAGCTTGAATTAAGTAATCCGAATACAACCTGAGCCCGCCTGAATTAAACTCAGGCAGTACTCGAGTTGAGATAGGGTTAGGATTAGAGTTAAGGTTACGGTTAAGGTTACGGGTTAGAGTAAGGAATGCATTAGTTGATATTCATGTTAATATTGGTATACAAACAAAGAGACCTTACTTTTTATTTATTTGTGTCGAGACATAGAAATTTTTTTAATGTTCAATTTTATTCTTAATTAATAATATAAAATTAATCATAAACTTTCTTATATCCTTAGAATGATTAAAAATAATAACTTAATCATTATTATCATATGTTCAATAAGGAGAACATAAAAAGTTGTTATTTAATAGGAAGGTTTTCTTAGTCTTTGCCTCATATAGAAATAGATTATGCATATAAAACCAACAGTTTTGCTTATAATTAGCCCATATAGTGGTAGTTAGTTTCTAATCATAATATTTTATTAAGACCCTGAAATATTTTCCCTAATAACTATGAATAGATATTGGTTATATTTAATATTTTAACATATTGTTTGCCTTTTAAGTTCATTTTTTTCCTATTGAAGGGGGGGGGGGGGGGNAACAACTAATATTTTAAATAACAATTCATTTTTCCTTCTTGTTACTAAAGTACACATCCTAAAATCAAACTTAGTCCGCTATTTAAAAAAAGAATTAACAAAATTTCATTTAAAAATAGGACCTTAGCATAATATTAACATATGTATACCATCTCCACATTTCATAATCATTCGTTAATATGCTAGCTATTAATACACATTTGTTTATTAATTAAGCAAAGTTTGTATTTAAAGAAAAAATGGCCTGAACCGAGACACAACAAAATATAAAATCTTAGGAATATTCAATGTACTAACATCTGACAATCTGAATACACTGAAAAAATGTCACATGACAGAATTTGAAGAAGGGGGATTAGCTATAACTATATTTAAAAAGAAAAATAACTAACTGGATGTTACCATTTAGTAATCGTCGTAAACAGTGGCTATAAAAGAGCATGGTTGGTCATAAATTTGGAGAGTTTGCTTCTACACGGAAACGAAGACCGTCAAGAACCAATATTGGACCGGGAAGAAAAAGGGGAAAAAAAATAAAGTCTAAGCGCATATGGCACGAAAAGGAAATCCGATATCATATTTCATATTTGCTCACTCTTTTTAGATTCTATAATCAAGTTTATAGTGAAATACAAAAAAAATTGAGAAGATGAAATATACAATCAAATTCTCACATGACTCACGATCTGAGCATTTTAGAAGTAATTTTAGATCAATTTTAGGAAGTAGTTACTACTACAATCAAGGTTGTTTATTCAGTCTTTTCTGTAACTAAAGTCCCTCCGATTGAATTAATAAAGGAGTTCTCTTTATTTTTTAGTTTCTTGTATTGTGTGTTTATCCATTAATTTCATCCAACAAAGTCTTGAAACAAGACATTTGAACTCCTGAAAAACAATCAACTGAAAATTGTCTGTCAATCGAAAATTTTTCATTGATCTCAACAGATTTTGGAGCAACAAAAATAAAATGAGACACAATAATATACAAACAATAATTTTTATTGTTTTATACCTTAACCTCGAGATCGTTATTAACTGTCACTGTTTTACTTCAAATTATTATATGATATTTTATAAATTAAGACTTAATTGTTTTATTATTTCAAAACTTTTTTTGGGTTTGAGAAAATTTTACTAATGGGCTTGCTTGCTCATTCTGCAATATAAACATTTTTTAAAATTTTGGTATTGAAGACAATCCAAAGTCAAGTGAATAGATAGATTGGGATGCCGGGTTGTCATAAGGTCGATTCAGAATTAGAAGGTTAGAGAATGATTATTTAATTTATAGTTTCTAAACTGATTATAGGATGTTATTGATATTTCTTTAGTTAGTTTATTGGGGAATAATTTGTTTGGATGTAACCTTAAGTATTTATTTATTATTTTATTTAAAATTTATCTAGTGAAATATTGAATGAAGAATGATTAGATTTATTTAATGATATTTTAGTATGCCCTCATATTTTAATAGTTGATAAATAATTAATATATGCATTGTGAATTTTGAGACGTTATAAAATCACCCAATTAACTCTAATTTACAACCATTAGACAATTTTTTTGCCCGACTTATTTATTAGAGATAAATATATCTTTTTTTTTTTTTTGTGAAGTAAATGTATTTTCTTCATTTGAAAACATAGAATCTGAATCTCAAATTTAAAAAGAATAACAAAATCCACAATTTAATTTCTAAAATTAGTCACACTAGCAAATCTCAATTTCAAATTACACTGAAAATCAACGGTTTTCATAATGACCATCATCTGTATTATTGTATTTTCATCTCGCGGGTTTCAACATTATCACCCGTTTTCCATGTACTCATTCCGTTTCTAAATATCTGTCGTTTAAGGTTTTTGCACAGGGATTAAAGAAACTATTAAATAGCTGTATTATAAGTAAAAAATAATTATAAAAGACTAAATTACCCTTATTCAATACGTATTGGGAATGAAAGGAATATGAAAGACACTTAACCTTTACCTAATCTAATGCATTGAAAAGTTAAGGATAAATTTGGAAGAAAAAATATTGATTATACTTTAGTTTCATTAAACGACAGATATTATGGAACAAAAAAAATTGTGTAAAACGACAGATATTTAGGAACGGAGGAAGTATCTACTTTAAAAAAAAAAATAAAAATTCAAACCACACACTACTTGACAATTACATCATAGACAATAGTCAAACTTCACAATTACATCATAGACCATAGTCCTAAATACTCCCTCCGTTTTTAAATATTTGTCGTTTAAGGTTTTTGCACAGGAATTAAAGAAACTATTAAATAGCTGTAATATGAGTAAAAAATAATTACACAAAACTAAAATATCCTTATTCAATACGTATT